TACTATTATTGCTATTATTATTCTTACCATTATCACTACTATTATTACAATTAACAAGAACGTTTAACGACCCTAGACATCACCACATGACAGCCAAACCCTAAGCCCCTAAACCCGGAGCCTCGAGCAAAGCTAAACGCCCAGTGTCCTTGCGGGTCTGGGTGGCCCCGGCCGGCCCACTGGTGAGAAATAAATAGTGCTTTGCCCAGACTCCTTAAGGATCGTTTCCAGTTTATTTCTGAAGGCTTCAGGCTTTGCGCATCGGGCTTGAGGCTGAGGGTATAGGGCTTGGGGTTTAGGTTTGCGGTTCACAAGACAAGGCCATGGGGGTGGATAGCTACGCCTGTCAGAATCACAGGACTGAAGACGCAGTAGTTGTAGGGCGCCTTCAGATGAAATGCTAGGAGCATGTGGACCCCTGTACACAAGCCGACTGGATTTCAGGAACACATCCACATGAAAGAGCGCCAGCGAATGTGATGTGAGCTCTAGTCTGCACTCCTAGAACCCCCTCAATGACCCCTATAGTGGTCCCCTACTAAATCCCCTATATATCCCCTTTGAGGAGTATAGCTCATGCGTTTTACTCAGGCACAGCCAACAAACAGGGCCCCCATGACTTTAACAACTCCAGGGTTCAGGGCTAAGGGTTTTGCTCTGGCGTTGAAAAATTTGAGCAAAAGGCTCTTGCTTTGTTTCAGGGTTTAAGGATTCTTCTGGATCAACTTTAGGATCTCACCCTTTTTGGCGTAGAGTCGCGATTCTTAAAGTGCAGGATTTTAAGCTGGGTAGCCGACTTCGAGCAGTAGAAGCATTGCCCAAATGATCATTCTGGATTCCATGGTTCGGATTCTCAACAGGGACTGAACTCCTAAGCCCCACCGGCAAACTCTCGGGTGGTTCTAAGTCGGGTTATCTTACTTGGGTTTAAACTGGCTACCGTAGAATCATCCTACTAAACACCTGGAACGAAAGCAATCCCCTATCTAATGACAAAACCCCTCACATCCCTAATAACAGACATTGCAAGGGTGGGCGGGGTGCTTTTTATCACTAGGAGAGGGGCACCAGAAAAGGGATTATACGGGCTACATAGGGATTATACTGGGATATATAGGGATTATATAGGGATATATAAAGATTTTGGGGGGATTATAGTGGAATATATAGGGTAAATATTGGGATTATATAGGGATTATATAGCGGTATATAGGATTTAGGGTGTCCCAAAATTAGGGGGTTGGAGGATTCCCCCTACAACCTCAGAGTCAGCCCTTAGGCCGCTGCCAAAGCGGCTTAGGGTTTAGGATAGCCCTCAACCCCTGAACCCTAACCCCAAACCCTGAATCTCAATCCGGATCAACTCCGAAACCACGTAAACCTTCAAAAGACCTGATAAAACTCTATGAACCGAATCAGCAAGCCCCATAGAACCCTATGAACTGCAAACTGTATAAACTTGTCATCTCCGTAAACCTTGAAGCTGCGCTCTTACTTATCCGACCCTCAACGCTGACCCTGAAGCCCACACCAACTTCTTGGGACAAAACCCTAAAAGAGGGTTTAGGGTTTTGGGCTTAGCTTGTTGGGGGTTCGTCGGGAATAAGCTAATTTCTTGGTGGTACAAGGGACAATGGCAAAGAAAATGGAGACTACTACATTATGACAATGTATATATTAAGGTTATAGTAGGAAAAATTTCATGTAGGGATCATATCAGGAATGAAATCCCCTTTCTCCCTACTGAACACCAGTCCGTTAGGGTTTTGAGGTTAAGCCTGAGCGAAGAGTCCGCACGAACTTCACAAGCAATCCCTCTTGGAGCAGATCCTCAGGGAGCCGAAGCATATCCTATGTGCAGACATATATATATATATATATGTATTTATTTTGATTTCTACTTATACTTGTATATATATACAGATGACTTTAAACCCTACTGGACGCTAGCCTGTGACATTTTTGGTGAGCTTCAGTACTTATAATTAAGGCTTGGGCACGGGAACCCTAAACCCTAAACCCGTTTAGGGTTTATGATTGAAGGTTTAGAGTTTAGAGAGGATTGAAGTTTTGGGTTTCAAGGTGTCGGCCAAGTGAATTTATGGACCCTGGCCACAATTAACATGGAACACCCTAAAAGGTGTCTAAGGTGTCTTATGAGGCTTCTACGTGGGATATATAAGAATGTATCGGGATCTAGAAGGTTCTGGATATAGTCCCTGAAGTAGATAGAATATGGCTTTGGGTACATTATTATAAGATCCTCATATACTCAAAGTTTTATCTACTTAAGGGGGACCCTAAACCCTAAACCCTAAATAGTAGTTTCCATTTTCTTTTTCCATTCTTTTTCCATTATCCCTATATAACCCCTACATAACCCTTATATTCAATCTACTTGAGGGGAACTATACAGTCCCCAAAACTATTGGCGTAAAAGCCATCAAGGCCTCCCTAAACGACTGAAGCCTGGTGGGGCTTCCATCTTGGTTTGGGGCAGGTTTAGGGTTTAATTAAGGGCTTAAGGGTTAAGGGTTTAAG